ACTATTAACAATAAGTATAAATAAGTGACACATGTTTGTAAGGGTTTTCGAGGCCGTTGATTACGAATATGATGTTAAATTGACAATTTGACAGTTGACAGCTGTCAACTTCTCTAAAAAGTGATCGTTTTTTGTAAAAAAGACAGTAATACGGTTTTTGAGGTCGCTGATTACGAATATGATATCAAATTTGAATTTTAACTGTTGACAGTTGTCAAAGAAACTGTCAACTTTTCTAAATAATAAAAAATTATCGTCTTCGTTATTTTAATTTGTATAATAACACAGAATCAGTTTTATCGTATTTTTACACTTGTTTCTTTTGACTTAAAAATTTTTTTTTTTAAACTTCTAATCAACTTATAACTTTTTGGTTTTCACCATCTTCAAGAGCGTTTCAAACCCTATCCGAATCAACAAAAAAGTAAAAAATGATTTTTTGACACGTAAGGTCCCTTTTCATAGACCAGGTCACATATAGTTTATGAGGTAAACAAAAAAGACACCAAAATTAAGAATTTGCTTATGAATTCTAAAAATTTAATTTTTTCCAATAAAAATCCCTGATCAATATTTTACTTTTAGAGCTGTGCAAAATAATTCGAACCGAACTGTTCGAATTTTTTCGCCTAGTTCGAATGTCGAAAAACCGACATTCGAGTTAGCCTAGTTCGAATGTCGAATATTTGGCATTCGAACTAGCCCAGTTCGGATGTCAAATATTCGACATTCGACATTTCGGCGCCCCAAAACCAAACAAAACTCGGTTCGGTTCGAATTTTGCACAGCTCTATTTACTTTCCCTATTGTCTTCAAAAAATAATGTTGAAAATATACTTATTTGTTTAAAAAAAATTTAATGTTTTTAAAAAATTTCATAGAGACGTTATGACAAAAAAATTTGGATCATGTATAAATTGTATAAAAATAAATAAATATTTTTATTGTCACATTTATTCTCAAAAATTGATATTTTTGTTTTCCTAGCAAAAACTATTAATAATAATATTTTTATTATTTAAATTTAAATTTATAAAATTCTTTGCGAAATATTATTTAACTTATTAACATAAAAAACATATTTATATTATGTTGTGGTGTTAATAATCTAAATCAAAAATAAAATGGGCTGAATTCTATAACATTGAGAGTAAATTTTATGATTACAGGGCTCGAAGCAGTGAAAGTATTTAAGAATACGGACTTTACGGACCAAAAATTAAAAATTACGGACCATTTACGGACCAACTGACAAAAATAGAATCAGGCCGAATCAAATAAGAGAATATTTTACTTAAAACTAGAAATTCAATTTTCCATAACTATAAAACATGAAGAAAATAATAACTCCGAGTCTTCGACTCGAAGTCATCGATTACTTCATGTTTTATAATAATTAATAATAATTATTAATAAAAATAATCTGTAATAATTAATAATAATTATCAATTCAATTCTTATTTTTAAGAATTTTTATCAAAAATTCTTCTTTATAAATATCGATTATTTTTAATAATTTTCGAAAAAGTTCTTTGACAATTTTCAAATTCATTTCTTTACAATATTCAACTTTACGAAATTTCAATTATTCGTAAATTCTTTAACTAAATAATTATTAGAAAATAGAAACTAAAAATAATATTAAAAAAACTCAATTAAACTTTTTCAAAAAAATTAATTAAAAAATTCAATTATTTTTTAAAATTCACGCTCTATTGCATTTAATATTTAATTATTATCTAAAACTTTAACTGAAATTCATTATTATGAAATGAAAATCAATTAATATTAGAAAGTTCTACTAGAATTCAATTATTTAAATACAAATAAAATGCAAATAAATAATAATAATTTATTGAATAATTGAACGTTTCTTAAAATTCAAATTCCCATAAAAAATCGTTATCAAGAAATTTTCAAATAATTGAATTCTGTCAACGAATTTTAATCAAATTTTTAAGAATAATTACATTTTTCGAGAAATTCGATTAAAATTGTATTAAAAATATTTGAAATTCTGCATTGAATTTTATTATTTATGAAAATAATTGAAATTCTTGTGAAAAATTTTATTAAAATTTTCAAAAATAATTAAATTCTTGTTAAAAATTAACAGGAATTCAATTATTTTTAAAAATTTTAATAAAAGTCTTGGCATAAATTAAAAATAACAAAATTCTTAGCAGGTCTTCAATTGCTTTCAAAAATGTTATTAAAATTTTTTCTTATTTTGTTAATTAAAAAAGTTATTTAAATAAATAAAATTAACTTTTGAGCAAGAATTCAAAATTAAATGACTTACGAACCAAAAAATTCCTTGTTTTTCACACTTTTATATTCCGAAGAAAAAAAGTTGATCGAGTTTTTCAATCACTTATAATTTAAACAATGATTCGCTTGTTTACAATTATTTTGCAACTAAATGATCATCTGTTGTTTGTAGAATTTTATTAAATTTTTTTTAAAATAATTAAATTCTTTTGGTAAATTTTATGAAAATAGTAGATATTGAACAATATTTAATTTTTGCGAAGAATATTATTACTTTTGAAAATAATTGAAATTTTGTAATGGATTTTATTAAAATTTTTGAAAATGATTGAATTTTGTCGAAGAATTTTGCAATTTATTTATAAAGATAATTGAGATGTTGACCATTTTTTTAAAAGATTTTTTGAAAATAATAGGATTTCGGAGAAGAATTTTAATATTTCTAAAGATAATTGAAATTTTGACGGGAATTGTTAAAAATTTTTGAACATAATTGAATTTCTGCGAAGAATTTTATTACTTTTGAAAATAATTGAAATTTTGCAATGAATTTTATTAACATTTTTGAAAATAATTGAATTGTATTACTTTAGAAAATAATTCAATTCGTGTGATAAATATTGTTAATTATGAAAATAATTGAAATTTTGTAATGAATTTTAATAAAATTTTTGAAAATAATTGAATTTTGTCGAAGAATTTTGATATTTATTTAAAAAGATAATTGAAATGTTGACAATGTTTTTTAGATTTTTTGAAAATAATTGAATTTCTGAGAAGAATTTTAATATTTCTAAAGATAATTGAAATTTTGACGAGAATTTTTTTTATTTTTTGAACGTAATTGAATTTTTGCGAAGAATTTTATTACTTTTAAAAATATTTGAATTTCTGCAATCATTTGTAATTTCTCTAAAATTCTCCAAATGATATCGTACAATTTACGAACTTTTCATCCTTTTTGAATGAAATTACGGACTTTACGGACCATTTTTTAAAAAAACGGACTTTTACGGACTTTTTCAGGATTTATGGACCTACTTCGAGCCCTGTGATTAGTTCAGGGTGGCCACAAGTTTCAGTTTATAAATTTCTTTGACAATTTACTGACATTAAAATTACTTTCCCTGACAAAATTCTTTTTAGAGGAAAATATGAATGTTTACGGAAAATAGGTAAAATTTATGAATTTGAATAATTTCTAAAAATTACAATTATAACCCTTCCTGAATTCAATTATTTTTTACAATTTTCAACTAAACTTCATCTCTGGATCAATTAATTTAAATAATTTCACAAAATTTCTTCTAGAATTAAATTATTTAAATACAAAAATTAAATTTTTTATAATAATTGTAATTATATATATATAAATATAATAGTTTTTCAATTTTGAATAATTTATAAACAATTAAAATTTGGTAAAATCTTTTAAAAATAATTGAATTTTTGAAAAATATAAATAAAAATGATCAAATTTTTGAAGAATTTTAATTATAAACAATAAACAGGACCATGATTTCTCAAAACTTTTAATAACTCTAAAAAGTAAATTTTCATAAATTTTTATTTACATTGTTCGAAGATAATTGAATCTTAAAAAATTATTATTTATAAAACAATTCTAATAATTAGTTTTTAAAAATATTTTAATGTAATTTTTCGAAAATAATTTGATTTCTTAAAAAAAATTTTGTATAATTAAAAAAACTAATTAATTTTTTTTAATTTTAATTAAAAATTTTGAACTTAATTGTATTCTCCAAAATGTTAAAAAGAATACTAAAATGTTAATATTTTTGTATGTATTTGAATTTTTGGAAATATGTAATTGAAAATATTGAAAACATTGAATTTTAAAATATTAGAAGCTAATTTTCATTAATTTTTATTTTTAAATTTACCTTTAAAGATTTTTATTAAAATTTTTGATATTTCAATTATTTTCAAAATTTGCAATTAAAATTCTTCAAAAATTGATTTTTAAAAATTGTAAATAAATACTTGAAATGTTTGGAAGAAAAGTTGAAAAAGTCGCAATTTTTGAAAATAAGTCGAAAAAATTCTCAATTTTCTTAATTTCCCTGACAAAAATTTTTTTCCTGACATTTCCCTGACTTTACTGACATGTGGCAACCCTGTTAGTTTGAAAAAGATTTTTAAAAAAATTGTTTATTTTTTATTAGAAAAAGGTGAAAAAGGGACAAATCACCAAAAATGGGGAAAAGGTGACAAAAGGGGACCAAGTGTGATGCCTGAAATTAGTATTTATTAATAAAACAAGGCGAATAGGTGACTTCTGAATTTTTGCTTATAGAAAATAAATATTAATTTTTTTTATTTAAACTATTAGAGAGTTTAAGGGAAGTATAAATTGACAAAAAAAGAAAAAAGAAGTTTTCAGTGACACAAATCGAAAAAAGTAATAAATAGTGGGTTTTAGTAGATGAGTGCGAAGTCGGCTGGTTTCCCTGACCTGTGACAACTCTGTAATATATTGAAAAATATTTCACAGTGGGTCTGATGTTTTGATAAAATAACGTTTGTCAAGCGATATATTTCCACTTTCGACGAAATATTGATAAACTCTGCGAAATAAAAAATGTAGATGTGTTGACAGCTGCTTTAGTGCCCATTAAGCTTTGGAGAAAAGAAGTAAAAAGGAAGGAAGGAATGATCATTTGTTGTTTTTCTAGAAGGGTAAATGGGTGAAAGTGAGAAAGTGTTACCGATAGTTCTCCATTTCTGCGTTGGTGTGGTGCTCGTCCGCTGGCCGTGGGGTAGTCGGGATGGAACTACGGGACCTTTTGCGCGGTGGCGGAGCGAGTCCACCGTCGTCCGACTCGCCGCTCGAGGCCAGGCTTATGCGCGTATCGCCCCGTTTTTCACACGATTATTATCCCGATGATGGGATGGTTGGGGCCGAGTTACGCACACAGCCACGGTCGCAGGCAGAAAATCGCTAATCCTGATTTCCCTGCTCCGAAGGCTGCAGCGTGCGCTTCGATTTCGGACACGTGAGAACTGCGTTTCTCAACGTTTCTCGACGCAGTTTTCAATTGCAATTCACGCGACAAAGGAGAGATGCGAGACTTTTCCGTGGCTGCCAAAACGAACACGAACAAAGACTGCCACACAGCTGATTCTGATATTTGTTTGGAACGTTTACGTCACAGCACTGTTTTCCTCTGTCTGTTCTGCTTTTGCATTCCTCTGCTTCGTGATAGGCCCGCTAACTGCAGAGCCCCTGCTTCGTCTCTCTCGCTTGGCTCGTTACTTTTCCAAAATTTACTTATTCTCACTTTATCTAGTGGCTTTGTTCGGACCGTCAGCCACAGAGTGAGTCTACGTTTTGGACTGTTTTCGAAAAACTCACCAGGCAGCGCTCGGTTTTGTTATCATTTGAGAATTTCTATTCAGGATGCTGACACAAAAAAGCCTGCATTAAGGCCAACGCACAATCGCAACGCAATCATTCAACGCATGATTTAGAAACGGACAGAGATATACATTTCTTTCCTTTTCTATCTTAAGGCCTTTCTCCAATAGGATCCAAAAACTCTGCGTTTGTCTGCGAATGACTGCGTTGCGTTGATTTTAGCATATGTTGCTATAGCAACCGACGCAGACGCAGAGTTTTTAAAACCTATTGGAGAAAGGCCTTTATGCATCTCGTATACAGGGCAAGAACTAGGTCCGTAAACCACGTAAAAATCAGTAACTTTGCTTGAAGTCCGTGAAAGTCCGTTTTTTTTAAAAAAAAGGTCCGTAAAGTCCGTAATTTCATTGAAAAAGGACTAAAAGTTCATAAATTGTACGATATCATTTGGAGAATTTTAGAGAAATTACAAATGAATGCAGAAATTCAATTATTTTCAAAAGTAATAAAATTCTTCGCAGAAATTCAATTATGTTTAAAATTTTTTTAAAATTCTCGTTAAAATTTCAATTATCTTTAGAAATAATTAAACTCTTCTCTGAGATTCAATTATTTTCAAAAATTTTGATAAATAAAATTCTTGTCAAAATTTCAATTATTTTAAAAAAATTTCCTCAATTCAATGATTTTTAATATCTACTATTTTAATAAAATTTTCCAAAAGAATTCAAATATTTAAAAAAAAAATTAATAAAATTCTACGCTTTTTAATTATTTTCATGAAATAATACAAATTTCACAGAAATTCAATTATTTCCATTTTTTTATAAATTACTTCGCAATCATTAAATTATTCATAAATAATATAACATTTTTTTCAGGGATTCAATTATTTTCGTAAATAATAAAATTCTTTTTAGGATAATTCAATTATTTCCATAAATAATAAAACACATTGCAGAATTTAAATTATTTTTAATACAATTTTAATCGAATATTTGAATTCCACGAAAAATGTGATTATTCTTAAAAATTTTATTAAAATTCAAATTTTTTTCCGGATTTTTAGAGAAAAAATTTTATTTAATTTTCTAGACTTTTTAACTAAAATTAAACTAAAAACTTTAATTATTTCTCAAATTATTTAAATATACATAATTGAATTATTTTTATAATTAACACATTTTTCGATGGAATTCAATTATTTTCAATACAATTTTTATAAAAATTTTCAAATGAATTTAATTATTTAAAAAATTTTTAATAATAATTATAATTACAAATATTTTTTAATAAAAAATCATAATTACTTTGAATACAATTTTTAACCGAATTATTCTTAGAAAGAATTATAATTTTCTTTGCAAGAATTCAATTATTTTTAAATCTTTTAATGAAATTCTTCGCAGAAATTCAATTATTTGCAAAAATTAATAAAATTATTCATAGAAATTCATTTATTTTCCAAAAATAATAAAATCCTTCGAAGGAGTTCAATTATATTTAAGGGGAGCACCCCAGTTGTAACGTTAAAAAGAAGTGTCTTTTTCAAGAATTTTTTCCTAATAATCCATAAAACTTTTTTAAAAATACTATTTATTACCTAAAAGTGCATACATAAGGCTTTAATTTGAGATGAAAAAAAATTTTTTTATCCAAAACTTTCTGAGATATGAGCCATTGAAATGGCGCCTTCGGAAAAAAACATGAATTGCGGTGACAAGCATTCCGCAAGTATAGTTCGTCTGAAATGCAAAAATGAAATTGATTTACATTTATTATAAGATTATCTAGTTTCCAATCGAAGGATTTCTCTTTTTTTGAAAAACTTTTATTCCTACAGCTGAAAATTGACTTTTATTTTTTAACCAAAATCATGCTCATGACTTTGACAGGATGCAATTTTGTCAAATATTTTTTTTTAAATCCTTCGATCAGGAACTAAATAATCTTATAATAAATGTAAATCAATTACATTTTTGCATTTCAGACGAACTATACTTGTGGAATGCTTGTCACAGCCAATTAATGTTTTATTCCGAAGGCGACACTTCAATGGCTCATATCTCAGAAAGTTTTGGATAATAGTATATTAAGCAACAAGGGTATAAAGGCTGCCATTTGTTTACGGTGATTTTTGTGACACGAGTGGAGGTCGAGGGCGCCCCGAGACCTCCACTCGTGTCACAAAAATCATCGTAAACAAATTGGCTGCCTTTATTCCCGTGTTACTTACGATATTTTTTATTCCTAATGCACAAAAGTGGCGATTTCAGATAGCAGACGACAGAGAGTAAAAGTCATTCACTTGTTCGACTTATATGAAAATGGCGGCCGTTTTCTCCCATGGGCAAAAATAACGCATGGGATCAGCTGTTATGTTTGCCTCTTGGGAGAAAATGGACGCCATTTTCATATGGTCGAACAAATGAGTGACTTTACTCCCTGTCGTCAGCTATCTAAAAGCGCCATTTTTGTGCATGTGGGATAAAAAAAAATTTTTTTCCATCTTAATGTACTGTATGTACTTTTAGGTAATAAATAGTATTTTTTAAAAGGTTTTATGGTTTATTAGGAAAAAATTCTTGAAAAAGGCACTTCTTTTTAACGTTACAACTACCCCCCTTAAAAAAAATAAAATTCTTCACAGGAATTCAATTATTTTCAAAATTTAATAAAATTCTTCGCAGGAATTCAATTATTTACCTTAAGTACAGTAGAATCTCCCATAAAAATCATTGAATTGCGGATAATTTTTTAAAATAATTTAAATTTTGCCAAGAATTTTGTTAAAATTTTTGAAAATATATAATTGAATTTCGGAGAAGAATTTCTGCCATCATTTGCTTGTAATTTCTCTAAAATTCTTCCAATTATATCCCTCCTACGGTTTTATCATTTTTCAATTTTGCAGGAAATAAATTTATAATTTTGTTAAAATTAATTTTGACTATTTCATATTTATTTTGATATTAAATACAACTATTCAGCTTCAAGTTACACTAAGAGTTTTATACAAAACAAGTATGTAATCCCCGCTTTCTCGGCGCGTTTTTGAGACGCAAAGCCATGCTTTACCTCTCAAAACGCACCGAGTAACCGCGGATTACATTCTCGTTTTGTTATAAAATGTCGTGTGTACCTCGGACGCACGCATTTCTCGTCCTCGCTTGTTTACAGTACTCGGCTTCGCCTCGTACTGCAAAATCAAGCTCGCTCGGACGAGAAACTAGCGCTTTGCGTCCTCATTGCACAATGTACTATTATTTATTTATGACTCTCGAATTCAATTTTTTTAAATAAATAAATGACTCCGAGTATACTTTGCGTGCAGTAAAAGTAGGATCATTTTTCTAATTTTTTTGTAAAAAAAATGTATACAATTTAATATTGTTTATATTATATATATTTAAACATTTTTTAAAATAAAAATGTCGAGAAATTAAATTCATTTGCTAGCTATTGTAGAAACACCTTTACAGCTGAGTGTGAGTGAGAAGAAAAATTTGAATTCTCTCTCTCGCTCACATTCATGTCCCCCTTCTCTGTCTGCCCGCGAGCTGTGACGCTGTGACCGTGCCATTAGGGTGCAATCCCATTAGGCCGCAGTCCCATGGCAGCGTTTTGCGTTGCGTTGTAATGAGAGAGAATGCAGCAAACGTATATTTGCGTCTTTTTCTCTCCCATTACGACGCAACGCAAAACTCTGTCATGGGACTCCACCCTTACAGCAGAATACGTCGACCGAAAACAGAAAATCATGAGTGCGAAAGAGATAGATAGATATTGTTGTTCTTTTCACTCTCATGATTTTCTGCTTTCGGTCGACGTATTCTGCATACATGGGATCGCACCCTTAGGCTGCGGTTACACCTCTGCAGGCAGCCTGCCTGCCTGCAGGTTGTCATGGTATCGTACAAGAGTAAGAGAGTCAGTGACTTCAAACTTCTCCCTTACTCTCGTTGCTCCTGCCTGCGCAGGCAGGCAGCCTGCAGAGGTGTAACCGCAGCCTTAGACACTGACCACTGTGCACATTGTGCTTAGGACTGTTTCCGTTTAAGAAGTTATTGTGCTCAGGGCTTAATACGTACCCACCTCTGAACATGTGTAGAGTGTGTGACTGTGTATGTGTTTCATATTTCAATCGTCTGTCCTGTCACTGTATTGTACACTGTACTCGAGTTTTGTTATTTCGTCGTTGGTTTCTCCCGGTATTGATGATTTCCATTTTAGGAAATCTTTACTCTTAGTATGTTAATTAAGAAATCAAAGAAGCAGTTGGCTGGTACTACACTAAAAGCATTGTTAGCCTTTGAAGTTGTAGGTTTTGTCGGGTCATACGCACTCTGGCATCGCATGAATGTATCTCAAGGTGAGTAACAATGGGCAAGTCTTTTGTTCCATCTTCATTTTTAGGTTATTCATTGGCACTCACCTGACATGCGATTCACTTTCAGATTTGGTTATTTTCTTAAAACAAGTTATAAATATTACGTGTTTTCTCCGAAGATAACGGTAAAGAAGAAAGGCCTGCATGTTCACTTGCTATAATCGAAGGTTTAAACTTTAATAAATATAAAAAAGAAGTCATCGAAATACAAAAACTTTTATTTATTTTTTTTTATTTTAAAGAAATAGAATTGCAATGTCCTATTATTTATAGAGTTTACAATCCATTTTTATTTTTCTGCATAAAATTCACTATTTAAATCGCCTTTAAATTATTTTAAAATTTATTCCTTCACTGAAAATCATATGTTTATGTATATTAGGATTATATATATATATATATATATATATACATCAGCATTTTTTCGGCAAAAAATGCACACATATCTTTTGCAGTCTGAAAGCACTTAAAGAAACGGTTTATGATCGAACTAAAATTATTTTCAAGGGTCTGCTCCAAATTTTTTGGTGATTTGTCACCATTTTCCCCTTTTTAATGATTTGTCCATTTTTTCACCTTTTTCTAATAAAAAATAAACTAGTTTTTCTTTTTTTTAAATATATTTCAAAGTGCAATCATAAAATTTAGACTCAACATTAGAATTCAGTGCGTTTTATTTTTGGCTTAGAATATTAACACCACAACATAATATAAATATATTTATTACTCTTTATGATTTAAATAATATTTCGCAAAGAATTTTATAAATATCAAGGTAGTTCATCTAACAGAATGCAGACCTCTAGAAAAATATTTAATTAATATGTAACTAGTTAAAATATTAATATATTTTATAGAAAATTAAAAATTTCAATTTTTGAGAAAAAAATAACAATCAAAATATTTATTTTATGAAACTAAAGTTACTAACGTTGATTCAATGAAAAAATTTTCTCTAAAAAGTTCAAGATACAAATTTTTCTTGTTTATTTTTAACCCAAGTAAATCCTCCGAACCCTAAAAAAAAGGTGGTGAAACAGAAGTTGTTATTTTTTTCTCACGGATTTGCCAAAAATCACGAAATTTCAACTAAATTAAAAATTCCTCGCCCCGGTAGCAATTTTTTTCTTTTGATAATTTATTGTTTATTTTAATATTAGACGCTATTTAAAAAAATCCCAAGTGATTCAATGTCGGGGAAAGCAGTGATTTTGAATTTTTTGTGTCACGAATTTTCCAAAAATTTTGAAATTTCAACTTAATGATTCCTCGACTTGGTAGCAATTTTTTTCTTTTGATAATTATTTATTTAAATATCACTTTAAAAAGAATTCCAATCAAAATCACTGCTTTCCCCGACTTGGAACAACTTGAAATTTTTTTTAAATAGCGTCTAATATTCAAATAAACAATTATCAAAAGAAAAAAATTACTACCGTGGCGAGGAATTATTAATTTACTTGAAATTTAATGAAAAATCTTTAAATGTAAACAGGGAGGTCCATGCCTAAAAAATCAAAGTTGTCCCCTAGTTTTTCGATTTTGTTGAAACTTCAAAATTTTAAAGTGGAATACATGCCAGTAAAAAGCCCAAAATCGATTTCAAAAATTTTGGATTTACGATGTTTTTAAATTTTTTTTTGAAATTTTGAAAATGATATATCTCAAAGAAAAATGAATGAAATTTAATGAAATTTTCAGGAAATGTGTATTATTTACAGACATCGATGACACGTCAGCATTTATAATAACAAAAATTATAAACAATGAATGATTTTCAAAATTTTAAAGACTTTGTCAGCTTCAGGAGACCCAAATGAGTATACATTCCAAATTTCAATCAAATTCATTTATATTTGAACTAAATAATGCGATTTATGTTTTAAAATTTTATTAAATTTCAGAATAAAAGTTTTTCAGTTTTTAATTTTTATTGTGAAAAATATTCGTTCTATAAAAAAAGACAATAAGAAAAAAGTTGTGCCTTTTGATTTTCTTCAAGATAGCGTTTTTGGAATTTCGAAATTTTAAGTTTTTATTTTTTCCTATATTTGATCCCATTGACTGCCTTCTCAGCTTTAAGTCGAGCGAAGATCGAGTTATTTGACTGAACTCCTTAATTAACAATAATAATAATAATTTGTTTAAACAAATAAAAATTTAAAAAATGCACAGTATTCTTACAAATTTATTGCCTGGCATTTTCCAGAATGAAAAATTGAATTCGGTTAAAATTTACGAATTATAGGTGATTTCGAACATTAGTTTGTATGTAAAGTATAGCCTGAAAATGGGCTTTTTACGGTTGCGTGCAAGGACAAAAAATGGTTTATTTAAAAATTATTTTTTAAATAATTTGTTTTAAAAAAAATTTTTTTTTATAAACTATTTTCTTAGATTGTCTGTAAATAATAAACATATTCTGAAAATTTCATTAAATTTCATTCATTTTTCTTTGAGATATATCATTTTCAAAATTTCAAAAAAAATTTAAAAACCTCGTAAATCCAAAATTTTTTGAAATCGATTTTGGGCATTTTACTGGCATGTATTCCACTTTAAAATTTTGAAGTTTCAACAAAATCGAAGAACTAGGGGACAAATTTGATTTTTTACACTGAGAAAACTGGAGAGTCAAATTCAGAAGTTCAAAAAGTGTATGTTTCCTTTGCTTATGAAGAGAGTTAAATAGTCCTTCTAAAATAAATTTTGAATTGATAATGGAAATCTACTTGTATATTCTCTCCCATTATATCTGAGGGTTAAAGGTTGCGCAGAAAATGTGTACGATCTGATGCGCGCGAACTTATTTTTGTGACATTTAATGTATTTAATTTATGGGTTAGGTTGCCATATTTATTCATTTCGCGCCGGATAAGGAAGGGATTTCTCAAGATGGTTAATTTGTCCCTCTGTTATAGGGCGGTATTCATAGTCCCGACTTAAGCAAGGACTTAAGTATTGCTTGATCAAGTCGGTCTTATTCGATTGAGTCGAGCTTAAGACCATATGTATTCATAGTAAAAAATAAGCAACTGCTTGGTAAAGGAAATGCACCTTAAGAATTGCTTGACCAAGCAAATGCTTAAGATGATCTTATTGAGCGTTCGGCTTTTTCCGTCAATATTCTCTTGTATCTACCAATAAGCGATGGTAGATAGCTTATATTTATTAGAAAAAATAACGCTAATGCACATAAAATATCTTTTAAGGGAGAGGAGGGGGGGGGGTCAAAAAAACTTAAAAATATGCATATTTTAATATTTTTAGGAAAAAAGTTATAAAGTAAAAGGATACAAGAAATGACTACCAGAATGATAAAAAATTGAAATATTCTTATTCCTGACGAAATATTATATTTACACTGAGAAAAAAGAGGGCGCGTTACAGCACATTTTCGATTCATGTTGCGCGACTCAACTCTGAATTCTTCTACACACTTTCTGGGGCGTGCAGCACGCCCCAAAGAGCATGTAATACGCTTCAAATACAGCTCGCCTCGACTCAGGGGTCCGCTGCACGCCCCAGAAAAGTGTCTAGCAGAACACAGGGTTAAGTCGCGCAACATGAATCGAAAATGTGCTGCAACGCGCCCTCTTTTTTCTCAGTGTAGATTCTAAATTTTTCTGTATTAAAAGATAGAAAAAATTATTTCAACTATTATTATATTGTTTCTAAAAAAATTATTTTGAGCCAGAATCAATGAAATTTTACAAAAAATAAGGAGTATTTTTATAATCGAAATGAAAAAAAGCATTTTTATTTGGCCATTGTCTCTACTAACAAACGCAAACAGAAAAAATTTTGTTTATAAAAAGTTATTGTAAAATGAATTTTTTTGCAACTTTTTAAACAAAATCTTATTTTTCCTAAACTAATGAACCAAGAGTGCATACAAAAGGGGTGAAACAATTAACTTTCGTTTGGAACTTCAAAATTTTTAAAAATAGTATTTTTTAATAATTAATTAATATTAACAGTTTTATTTCCTCATAGGGTGTCGATTTTCTTAGAATCAATTATTTTTACAAATTTTCAAGTATATATAAATATTTCAACATGGGGAACAAATTCTTCTGATGTACAATGTGTGTGGATGCATTTATTTGGTAGACACATTCTTAAGGCCAAATCGAAATGTTTTTTCAACATTTCGATGAAAAAAAATACTTTTTATTTCTCGTGAAAATTTTATAAATTTTGAACCTTTTCTTTAAATGATTAAATTTTAATTATTATTAAATTGTTTTTAATAAAAAAATTTTTCATTTTTATTATAAATATTTATAAAAAGACAATAAGTAATTGCTTAAGTCATGTAAAACCTTGACTTAAAATCATAACCTCAATTCGTTCAAATAAGTTCACCGGCAATGTCAAATAAGATCATCTTATTTGACTATGAATACTTGGCATTCTTAAGATGGGACTACACGGAAAGAAAAAACAAGGCTTTTCCCCGTGACTTCAATTCATGCCTTTTCAGGTAGCAGTTTCACCGGATTTCCCGATGAATTTCATGCGTTTAGCGGTTAGGCCACGCCTTAGCCCTAGAATCTCACCGGGAAAACCCGTGAGCGTCCTGCATTTTTACTGTGATAATTTTCACGCGTTAAATGCATATTTTTTCATGGGGAAAAGCCTTGTTTTTTCTCTCCGTGTATGCATCTCAAAATCGAAGCATTTACTTTGTCAAGCATATGCTTAAATTGCGGCTTAAGGCAATGCTTATTGCACGACTGTGAATCTAGGTGGAAGCTTAAGTCGCTGCTTAAGAAATAAGTATTGATAAGTATCGACTATGAATACAGCCCATAAACTCATTTTCCCTCCAAGAGAAATAGCACGAATATCTGTCAATGGTGTATTTGAATATTTAGATTGTTATCCAATAGCCAACTCTCAAATATGAACGATTAGTCCCTTCAGATGTTTAGTCCAATCCTCCAGTTTTCTCAGTGTAGGCATGGACCTACTCAAAC